AAAAATTTTTTTTTTTTTTTTTTTTTTAGCAAACAAATAGAGACTACTTCAGAGAGCCACACATGCTCAAAATGCAGAGAATAAGTGGGTTATTCAACCCCAGCTGGTACATCTAAAATGCAATTCCTACACCCAAGGCTCAAGGAACATTGCAGAAGAAGGGGTAGAAAGGTTATAAGAGCCAGAGGACCAGTAGCCTGCTGTGAGATAGTGTCCTCTAGACATGACAGGGATGCTGCACCCATGAAATCTTAACAGTATGGTTGTCTAAACAAGATTTGCACAGTGACAACACCAGTAGACATACCAATGTGGATAGCAGAAATCTCACAAGCTCCCACCCCCAGATGAAGAGCTACAGGTAATAAATGGCTGCTTAGAGAGGGAGAATCAGTTTTCTCCAGGGATGAGTTCTCTGATAGGTTATTCAATCCCAAATGGTCAGCCCTAAACACATGTAAATAAGACCAAAACAAAATGGACTCAGTATATATACATAATAGTAGTAAAAGAAGAGGAGGTCATGAATTTGAGAGGGAGAGGGGGCATGAGAGGAGCTGGAGGGGGAGAGGGAAGGGTGGAAATTATGTAAATATAGTACTTGTATATGAAATTCTCAAAAAATTTTAACTTAAAAATATGATCCAGGTGTGGTGGTGCACACCTTTGATTCCAGCACTCAGAATGCAGAGGCAGGCAGATCACTGAAAGTTCAAGGTAAGACTGGTCTACATAGAGAGTTCCCAGCCAGGGATACATAGTGAGACCCTGTCTTAAGAAAACTAACTAAAATAAATATTTTAAAAATCTAATTTACAAAAACCTTGGGACCTAATAATATGAAATATAAAAGAATCATCACCACACTGCTTGGCCTCCATCTCAGAGTGCTTGCTTCAGTCCTGTTTTGCACCTGTTTTGAGCTTGAAGTTGTTTCAGCACAGATGTATGTGTCTTTTACCTTTAAGTGGTGTAAGCCAGGTTGTACAGGGATTATTTGCACCTGAACAGCGGTTATATTGGATTTGAGATTTAAAAGATTTCTTATTGCCATTGCTTGCCCAGAACAAATGAATAGGCCCATGGTTGCCCTTCTGTTTTTGAGACAGGATCTTCTGTAGCCAAGGCCAGCTTCCTGGGTAGCTGAGAATGACCTTGAACTTAATTTGGTTTGCTTGTTTTTTGTTTGGGGGAATCGTGTGTGTGTGTGTGTGTGTGTGTGTGTGTGTGTGTGTGTGTATTGAAGTAGAATTTCATGTAGCCCAGACTTGCCTCAAACTTGTAAGCTCGTTGTGTAGTCAATGATGATCTTGAATTTATGATCTGCTTACCTCTACTTCATAAGTGTTGGGATTATAAGTGTGTGCCACAGGCGCAATTTATGTGGTTCTGGGGATTGAACCCAGGGCTTCATAAATGCTAGGCAGGAACTTTGCCAACTAAGCTATGTATGTCCCTCTCTACTGCCCACTAGTCACCAACTACCTTGAATGGGACTCCAGGAAAAATTGAAGAGATTCTATTGGAGAAAACTTTTCTGACAGAAATTCCCAGGCATGCTGAGATGGGGGGGGGGGGGCGTCCTAAGACCAGAGGATTTTTCTGATAGAAACAGAAATAAAATAGAAATGAGAAAGCTAGAAACCACACACCTTTCCTCTTGCAGTCCAGCGTTTGTATGGGAAACACATAATTATGGCACAGAGTCGAGTCTGCCTCCGGCCTGATGATTGGGGGTCTTCCTGAAACTTGAGGTTTGGGGTCCAGTTGCTCTTTTTCCTCTTCATTACATAACTCTTCAGCTTTTAGCTGCAGTAGCTTTTTATTTTTCAGTCCTTGTGGGCTTTCGCACTTGGCATAGTTCCCCAAATTTCGGTTCCTTGGAATCTGCAACATTGAAATGAGTGTTTCTATCTCACAAGTACAGTGCCAGGGGTTGTCATAAAGACGCAGGTAGCTCAGCAGAGGTGTATAAATGAACACCTCCTCCGTCAAGACTTTGATCTGGTTGTGCTGTAGTAAGAGGGTGGTAAGTTTATTTAAACCGAAGAACGCCTCGCTCTCAACTTTGGAGATCTCGTTCTGCTGCAGATCCAGGCTTTTCAGCTTTTTAAACTTGGAAAACATGCTGTTCTTCAGTACACGGATTTTGTTTCTCGCTAACAGCATGTGCAGCAAATCTTGAGGCCAGTCGGGTAACACATAAACTAATTTTCTTTCTTGACAGTCTAAGTATTTCTCATAGAGATATGTGTACACATCACAGGGGAGGCCTGGTGCATAGCGTTTGACCGGGTTGGAGCCTCTCCGGGCAGTTGCCCGGCTGGGGTTGGGATTTGTTCTGCTTCTCAAAGCACCCGGGCCGGCCTTGCGCAGCTCAGCAGCTCTGCAAAAGCAGAGCAGTATCACAAGGATCACCGTGCGCATCCTGACATCCAGCTGGCCCGAAGACAGGTGGAACAAGGACATACGCCTTTGAAATCCAAGTTTGGATGTTCTTAACTAATGCAGTTCAGGAAGAGTGTGTGGAGTTCCTACATGGAAGAGGAAAAAAATTAAATAAATAAAAGGAAAAACATAAAGACAAAGCATTAAAGGTTAAAGACCATCCCAGTGTATGACAGAAACAATAGCTTTGTTTTGTTTAAGCAAAAGGCTTCCAGTTTAAACAGGTTGGCAGAAAAGTTGTGTAGAGACTTCCCTTCTGATTCGCCTGGTTTAGTTTACAAATGTTTGGGTCCCGATTTTGAATGAGGGCTCTCTTACCTGACATTATATCTTCAGCATCTGTAAAACAGGACCTAGGCTGTTGCCTTGTCCCTGGGCAAGTGAAAGAGGCTCAGGCATGTTTGGGGCTTCCCAGTGCCTGGCCCAGGGCAACTTCTCAGATATTAAGACTCGGTATAATGAAAAAGGAAACTTGGAGGTCCTCATCACATATGTTTAAGAAACGAAAGGGGACTCAGTGGTTAAGAGCGCTGGCTGTTTTTGAAGAAGACTTGGGTTCAAATCCCAGCACCTACATGGTGGCTAACAACTGTCCATAACTCTAGTTCCAGGGGATCTGACATCCTCTTTTGTCCTCTGTGGGCATTGCATGACATGGGTGCACCTACACACATGCAGGCATACCACTCATACACATAAAATAAAAATAAATTAAAAAAAAATTTTTAGGAGGGGCTGGAAAGATGCCTCAGCGGTTAAGAGCATTGGCTGTTTTTGCAGAGGAAGGGGTTTGGTTCCCAGCACCCACTGGCAGCTAACAACTGTCCCTAACTGCAGTTCCAGGGAATTTGACATCCTCTTCTGGCCTCCACAGGAACCTGCCACTTATACATAAAATAAAAATAAATTTTAAAGAAGGAAGAAATTAAAGGAATTCTCTTGACACCCTTAAACGCACAATCAAGTGTAGGGCTTGGGCCATCCTGAGCTTATTATTATTTTTCTTTCTTTTACTATTTCCAAGTCATTTTTCATGTTGAATTTGGAACCCAGAAATGCTCAGCATGAATGACACTGTTCCTGCCTGTAGGTCTAGGCTCAAGTGTCACCATCACAGTGATGGCTTCCCTGGCCCCCTGGCCAGGCACTTCCAACCTGCCTTTCTTGTTTCGTTTATTTATTTTTTCTGCAGTGTTTATCAGCATTTGTCAAAGCAGAAATTTGACTTTATGTACTTTCTGCTTGGTCCCTTAACTAGAAAAAAAACTTCCTGAGGATAAGGATTTTTATTCATTCTACTTGCTACTGTATTTCCTTGACAAATATTTTTTGAGTGTATGACTTACTCTCTAACTATTCTATTCCAAAGAAGGTTTATCTGACAAACAGATGTTATTTTGTAAATCTATTTTTTTCATAAAGTACTACTGGTCAATTAATGTTTTTTTTTGAGACAGGGCTCAGGAAACTCAGCCTTGAACTCATTTTGCAGCTAAGGATGATCTTGAATTTCTGATCCTCCTTCTACTTGCAGAATGTTGGGGTTGTTTACAAGCATGTACTACCAAACCTACTTTTTGTGATGCTAGGGACTGAACCCATAGCCTTGTGCATGCTAGGCAAGCATTCTACCAGTTGGGCTCTATCTCCAACCTAGATATGGATGTTTTTAAGAACTTTTTATTTTTTTTAATTTTGAAAATATTTCTGGTTTGGATCTATCACTTAGCACAGAGCCACTCCTGGCAAAGGAAGAAATATACCAACTGGACTTACAACTAATAACATGTCTGCTATTAGTACTGGGCTATGTGGTTATGAGTGGCAGATGTGCCTTCTATTCATTATGTCAGGACCACCCTTGCCTGTAGTTTTCCAGCGTCATTGGGTCTCATCCACTATAATGCCCCCTTCTTTGCTTCAAGCTGGCCCCCTGTTCACTGTGTGTTCTCCCCAAACTGCTCTCAGGGTTCTGTTGGTGTAATACTGTGCTGTCTAGCTGTTTGTGTACATGTTTCTCCTCTTCATGAGACCATAAGCCATGCAAAGTCCAGTGGTTCTACAGCTACTCAGGCAGGTAGACTTTCCCAACCTCTACATCTCTCTCTGAAATTCATTGTAACTAACATGTAAATCTAACCTAAAAAGTCATAACTAATAGTTTGTTTCAATTATTATGTATGTTAAACTATTTGAGGGGAGTCTGCTATTATTTCTGATACCCTTTAAATGCCTTCAAAAATACTGTAGAGGCGCTGGAGAGATGGCTCAGTGGTTAAGAGCATTGACTGCTCTCGCAGAGGACCTGGCTTCGAGTCCCAGCACCCACGTGGCGTCTATGAACCGTCCTTAACTCCAGTTCCAGGAGACTCCAAAGCTCTCTTCTGACCTCTGCAGCATTGCACAACATGGATGCACTCACATACATGCAAGCAATATACTCATACACATAAAATAAAATAATAAAAATATTTTTAAAAAGATACGTCCCCCCAAAATACTGTAGAATGTGGGACCAGTTGAGAGATGGATGGGTGAGTAGATCTGTGATAAAGTCAATACAATGAAATACAGATGATAAGCTAGGTGGTGGGAACATAAGGACTCACTGTGTTGTCCTCTTCTCAGTGTTTGTACTTGTGTGAAAATTTTGCATATTGCATTTATTATATAAAATAAACTGTTTGTAAAAAAGCAAACAATGGAGCTGGGGAGATGGCTCAGTTACCAAAGTTCTTTTTTAAATATTTTACTATTTTTATTTTATGTATATGCATATATTGCCTGCATGTATGTAAGTGCATCCATGTTGTACAATGCCCTCAGAGGACAGAAGAGGCCACTGGATTCCCTGGAGCTGAAATTATGGACAGTTGTTAGCTGCCATGTGGATGCTTGGATTCAAACCTGGGTCTTCTTAAGAATGAGTGTACTTAACTACTGAGCCATCTCTCCAGCCCTAGTCACTAAAGTTCTTGCCACACAAACACAAGGATCTGAGTTTGATCCTGAGCATCCACATAAAAGCTGATGATAGTGGTGTATGTCTGTCATCTCAGAGCTGGAGATGCAGAGGCAGGAGGATCCCTGGGGCTCCCTGACCAGCCAAACTTGCTCAATCTGTGAGCTCCAGGCTCAGTAAGAAATTGCCCCCCCCGAATAAGATGATGAGTGATTGAAGAAGACACTCAGTGTCAGTCTCTTGACCCCACAAGCATGTGCACACACACATGTGTATCTACACACACATGCACATACAAACGTGAGCACACATGTGCACACACACATAAACACATACAAGAATTTAAAATGTATGTACCAAAAACAAATTTGTTTTTTGCAAGTGATTTCAAGTTAAAAGCTCTAGAGGTATAGTATTTTCTTAAAACCAAAATAGCTGTTTTTCTCTTTATGCCTTCTTCTTATAATCCTCAAGAAATAATAAACATGTGTGCATGTATTTTAGTTTTGAAGCCAAAAGAAGTCATTTCCTTGGGAAGAGAAATCCATAGACTTAGAACACGTTACTTTCCAAGGTTTCTATTTACTTTCTAATGAATATGTTGCACTGAATATAGGATGGAAAAACTTGAAATGTCTGCAGTATGTTTAGTGATGTCTGACTTGTTTGATTTAGGCCACTGTAAAAACTTGCAAGAGTTGAATGTCTCTGACTGCGCATCTCTCACAGTGAGTATAAACAACCTGTTCTGCTGTTGTTTACATAGGTCCAGACTCCTCACACTTTAGTCCCAGTGTGCAGAATGTATTGCCTTTGCTCACATTTGGGGTTGGATATGGAAAAAACAAATGATATTAAGCATTGGCAAGAATGTTTGCCTCATCTGTACAATGCTATTATTAATCTTGCAGACATGTGTCCAGTGTTGGAGCCTTTGGCAAATGGAAACTCTTTAATGATTACACAAATACGAATTGTTTTTGTTGCATGTATATGTGTATGAGATGGAAAATACTGGGCCCCGACAAGGATGAGGGACTCATTTTAGTGGTTTCATGGCTATTAGCAACTGTATCAAAGAAGATGGAAGTGAACATATATCCCTAAATCCTTCCTTCCTGGCCCCTGGCCCTTCTTTCCTCTGTCCTGAATCTGTCTTCCATTCTGTGACATAATACTTTTTCTGCAGACAGGTCTGACTAGTTTATTCCCAGCTGCTATCACCCATATACTACTGGTTAACATCAAAGCACCTGAACATTACTACATCCTGGAGACCCTGTGTAGTCTTCTGCTTCCCTTTCCAGCCCCATCTCATTCCACTCCTGTGGACACAATGAATTTCCATGGCCATGGACCAAGCTGCTACTTTGGTCTCTCATTTGCTCACACCGAACTATTTACTTACATTGCCTTTTCCTCTTGCCCTCAAACACTGATTTGCCTCTGGTAAGCCTTATCATCCACATCACTGTCTCTAAGCCACCATTGGCCCCTAGGCCTGGCTTCATAATGCTTCTCTACTTTCTACAGGTGTAGTCCCTAACTGTAGTGTTTCTTCATCCTAAGATACCCAAAGGGCAGGAGATGTGTCTTCTTTTTGTGATAGTAAGACTTGCATACATAGTAGGCATTTGCTGGGCCCAGTGGTACAAGTACTTTAATGTTACTCAGAAGGCAAAGGCATGTGGGTCATGAGTTCAAGAACTGCCTGGGCTCCAGAGTGAATTTAAGGTCAGTCTGAGTAATTTAGTGAGATTCTGTCTCAAAATCAAAAGAAAGAAAAAGCTCGGTGGCAGAGAGGACCTGGGTTCCATCCTTAGTTTCGGAAAAAGAAAAGGACTCAATAATATGTAATGAATGCATGCCATTGTATGTTGATACCCAGTGGACAGTGGACAACAGAACATGAGATTCCATCGTGTGCTGACATGTATATGTGTCATAATTAACATGGTAAGAGTGAATAAGATCGGGTTGGAGAGTTGGCTCAGCAGTTAAGAGCACTGACTGGTTTTGCAGAGGACCCAGGTTCAATTCCCAGCACCCACATGGCAGCTAACAACTGTCCTAACTCCAGTTCCATGGGATCTGACACCCTCTTCTGACCTCCATGGGCAATGCAGGACATGGATGCACTTACACACATGTGGGCAATACACTCATACACATAAAATTAAAAAAGAGCGAATAACTAGAACACTCTCGTTATACATCAACTGCAGGCCGAGGCCAAAGCCCTCAGCACAGGTGAAAAGACAAACATCCTAAATTGGCTCCTCTGAGCTCCTTTCTGGCATCTTCATACAGCAGCACACTTCATATTGATAGTTGCTCTTTCAAATTTATATATTATACCATTTTAATACTGAGTCACTTGAAGTTCCCCACACTGCTGTTTCACTGCCCCTGAACCCGTTTTTCTTTCTGCTGGATAATGACCCTTCCACTCCCAATCCTGCCTGGCTAACACTTTTTCTTTTTTTTCTTTTAAAATTTTTTATTGAATTTTTGTGTATTTCATACAGAAAATCTTTTTTTTTCAGTGCAACCAAAGTTTCCAGTGTATTTAACTCTGTGCTGTGTTTCAGGAGACCCACATTGTATAAGTGGCAAAGCATTTATTACCTGGTTTATTGTGGTGTTACAGAGAGGAGAGTGCTAAATAATCAATCAGTTAATGGTCTGTATGGCGGTTTGAGCACATCACATGCATTGTGCTTGTGCTGGTAGAAGGATGAGCTGATAACTCCAGTGTATGTTGCATGTTTATTCAGAGCCTGATGTCCTCGACAGGAGCTGACAAGGACCTGATGACAAATGCAGCTTCGGCATCGGCAGTTTCAAACTTGCAAAAATATTCTAGTGACAACTTTGAGAGACTCTGGGTACAAATGTTCCAAGAAAGAGCTGCAGCTACCTGTTATGTTATTTCATCTTATTCTTCCTTAAACCAGCTTTAGGTTTGAGAATTTTAAAAAACAACAAAGCAAAACAAGTTCCCTGGTTTTGGCTTTACATTTGTGTATTAAGCTCTATTACTGCTGCTGCCGCAGCTGCATTACTATTGTCATTAGCTGTTCCTAGTTCTGTGCAAGAGCTGCTTCACAGTGTGCCTCTTCCATCCCATAGGCTTGCTCATTGTGAAGTGAAAGGATATGGGAATGGAGATATTTTCCAAAATAGAAAAAATGAGAAAGCCTAAGCAAGTGATGAAGGTCTGTTTAGGTTTGTTATATATAAAGGATGAGACAAAAATAATATACATATAATCTTGAAATTTCCTATGGCCATAGTCAACTACTTTAAGGAACAAAATATATATCTAGTCAATATTTTTCTGAGAATATCTGTTTTTTCACTCAAGCCTCATCTACATAGCACATGATAATTAAAAGTACCAGACTGGTGGAACTAACCTTATTGTATGTTTAATAGCCATACTTTAAAGCCTATACTAATCTGGTCAGAGGGACTTAAAGGACAGTTTTTGCCCTTTGCCCTCCAAGGTTGACCAAGTGCCAGGGGACTATGGAACATCTCTCCTGTAACTGTAGTGAGTCACCTGTTCTCTTGTTCAAGGAGGACATGGAGAGCCCACAAGATGGACTTGAACCAGTGTCTAGTCTACAAAGAGGAGGGTCAACTTAGAGGAAACATCTCATTCATGCTTCCAAGTGAAGCCAGACATGGTTGAGCAGGACCTTTGACTTATCTTCACATACAGAAAATCTTAATCATATCCCCTTTCCCAATGGTCCCCTCCCATACCCCCCCACTGGAATTCTACATTCTGTCCTTTATGTTAAGGCCTATCATGTCAAGTTAGTGTCCCCAGACGTCCCTCAGTCTGGATAACACTTTTTCATTATTAAAAATTTTTTTGTGTGTTATTTAAAATTTTTTTTATGTGTGTGCATGTACTGCCTGCCTGTAGGCACAATGCCCCCAGAGGACAGAAGTGACTGCTGGATCCCCTGGAACTGGAGTTAACAGACAGTTTTTAGCTGCCATGTAGGTGCTGGGATTCGAATCAGGTCTTCTGCAAGAACAGTCAGTGTTCTTAACTGCTGTGCCATCTCTCCAGCCCCACTTTTTCATTCTTTAAAATACTCTTAACTCCATTGGGTCTTCACATTCACTTTTAAAAACTGAACTTTTAAAAGCAGGATTGTACAAATAGAAAGAAATTTACATGGATATTGATATTAAATGCTCTCCAAGTAAACAATTTGATAGTTTTTGGTATATGTATAGAATTATACAGCCAGCTTTCAAACATTTCTTTCATCCTTACAAGAACTCCCATCCACTGGACCATCTCCCAGTGTCCTAGCTCCTTGCAATTCCATTTATTTTTGACAGGACTAACTTATCCCTTTCCTAAGTTAGGTTTGTAATCTCAGAATCTCTAAGCCTTTATACTTTCTGCTTTATATTTACATTTACATTGTATCTCCTTTTTTAGAATTAACTCTTTGAAAATCCTCTTTTAATTTTTAAATGAAACTTAACCTTCCCTTTTTCACAACAAGATATTTTTCCAAGATGCGAGGCGTTATGTGAGTACACATGAAAATACTAAACCCTCGGAGTGCTTTAACTCTTTACTCCAAAACAGAAATGAAGCCTTTACATTAGTTGTCTGGTTCTCTCCCACCTGGTCATAGAGCACTGCTCTCCACCAGCCTGGCTAACTCTCTTGTCAGTGGGTCATGCTCCAACATAAACAAGCGGCTTCTTTATGTTCAGAAGTGTCCCCAAGGGACAGACAGACATGCTAAAGACTACATCAGAAAAAGCAATGTTCTACTTTCCCTCTGGTTTGGGCTCTTTCTCCCTGAACAAAGTGAATATGGGCTTCTTCACCAGGAGAGATTTTAATCTTTGCTGTCCTTTGCTCCAGATGTCTGCCTAAGGTTTTAATGGGGTGGATGGATGTGAAATGGATTCATTCTTTCTGTCGATTTTTTAGCTCCTACTATGTTAAAGCTATCCCATTAGATGTTAGAAGGAACTTTAAAGTGAATTAATTTTCAGTTCTTGTCCTTGGGGAACTTCAGTTCTGTGTATGAATACAAGATTACATTCTTTGAATTTGGCCCTCTAATAGGAAAGGCAACACCAAGTCATCTGCACTGAATTTGTGAACATCAAAGTCTTGTCCAAGTTTGGAATCTATAAAGGGCTAGTAATTTTATTCAGTTCCCTTTTACTATTGTTTTCCTCTTTGAGGCATAGGCTGCAAGACATGCTTACATTTAAGGATTTGGGCAACATTTATTCAAAGAGTTTGGTTATATCTAATCTTTTCCTGTGAAATAAATCACACTCTGAGGAATCTGAGTAGTAGGTGTTAATGGACAAATCCATAAGCCATTCAGCAATGTGTACACTCAAACAGTTTTTGCATCTATGTGTTCAAATATTTAGAAACTGAACCTTGAGCTCTCTTGAGCACTGAAAATGGGAGTGGTCTGAACTTGCCCATCCAAGCTCCTCCAGACAGGCAAAGAAAGACAGAGAAGGGATTGCCTTTTGAGCACGAGAGAGTCAGATTCTTTCATGGCACACAGAGCACACACCATCCTTTTGGCTCCATCACTTCTGCAGCCTCTCTAAGGGCAGCTAAGGTAGCTTTCTCCCTTCTCCTTGCCCAATGATACTGGCATTCTTGTTATTAGCAAATACACAATCACTGTGATACCTGACTAGCACACCCAGCATTTCTAAAGACAAATTTTGTATCTGTTAAAATATGGTGCTACGTGTGATGATCATTCTCTTCAATTGTTGAGAGAAAATCATACTATAATTTTTTGTTTGTCCATGTATGTTCAAATCCTACCTTTGGTGATAGAATGTCTAGAAAAATTACTAACAGTCTGAATGCAGTGTAGACACACAACACTGGCCGGGAGAACCTTTCCTGTAGCAGAGCCACTGGGTCCTGTTTAAGATATGATTTTCTGACCAGTCAGTCATTGATCTTACCTGATGGTGACATATACACTCATCCCCCCCCCCCCCCCCCCGCCACAGGGTTTTGTTGCTTTAAATAGCCATGAGTCCTGGAAATCATGAGGGATGGAATGTTTGACAAATCCCGATCCTGCTGAAAATGAACTTGTGCCATTCTTAGTGGTGTTCTGATCATGTGGAATTCTTCAAACCACACTTCCCAGTCTGGTGATGATTCATCTCCTCCAGACTGATACCTGTAGTGGACTAGTGTACTATTGTTTTCAATGCAGACATGGACTGGTACATGCATGAACCGCACGTATTTAAAACTGGCTGACCTGCTGGTGGAATTCCAGGGAGATTCACTGACCATTATTAAACAAATGAAAAACTGCTGTTGCTCTACTTCGCTTCTCTTCTTCCCTCTTCTCCTTCTTCTTTTTTTAAATATGTTATTTTATTATTTTTATTTTATGTGTATGAGTGTATTGCCTGCATGTAGGTAAGTGCACTCGTGTCACACAATGCCCACGGAAGACAGAAGAGGCCATCGGATCCCCGGAACTGGAGTTATAGATAGCTGTTAGCTGCCATGTGGGTGCTGGGATTTGAACCCGGGTCTTCTGCAAGAACAACCAGTGTTCTTAACTACTGAACCATCTCTCCAGCCCCTCTTTTCTCTTCTTCTAAAGACAAGTCTCACTCTAACCCAAGCTGGCCTGGAACTCATTACTTAGCCGAGTTGGCACTGAACTCAAGGTGATCCTTCTGCCTCAGACTCCCCAGTGCTGGGATTACAGGCATGCATCACCATGCCTGACAGTTACTGTATTTTTTAAAACACTTTTTGCATGCAAAACAGCTTATACTCAAAGCTTGACATTTGTCTGGTCTTTAGCAATTTCAGAGTAGGGACATTTCTTGAAATCACTGCTTTTCAGTCTCATGTTGGTCCCACCCTTCACTTACCTCAGCTCCAGCCCATGGGAGAAGGTCGCTTAAAACTTTAATTCTCTCTAACTCTAGTCCCAATACTGGATCTCATGCCCACACTACAGCTTGTGTGTTAATCTATATTTTATTTCTCAAAGATAGATGGCTAAGACCATCTCAAACTTACCATGAATTTGGTAGAAATTGTTTAGTTCTTTTAAATACATTCATTATCAGAACCACAGAAACTTAGTAACATACCACAAATATACACCTGGGTTAAATACTCATGTCTAACATGGACTTGCTTAATGAAGTTCAGATACTGAGTGTTCACCATTTCCATCTTTTAGAACAGTTTTAGTAGGTTTTAAAATGGGCCAGTTTCTGACCACCTTCCTGTATCTGGGAGTTGAGAATGTTTCACGCTGTGCTATCTGTGCTCAAACTTCCTGTCACACGTGGAACTTGCAAAGGTTCACTTTTTAAGGAAGTGTTACTGTGATGGAATTGGATTTTATTTTAAAGGAAGGAGGAGAAGAGGGAATAATGAAGCTTCAAATAAAGCTGCTAGTTTCTCATTTTTATTTGAACTATTATCAAAGAATATGAGGAGACCAAGTTGTGTGTGAATTTTTTTCTGGGACAGGCAGCAAGCTAGAGAATGGAGAACTTGAGAAGCCTGTTAGGATTTGGTAAGATTCCTTTTTCTCTTTTTAATGTAGGATGAATCTATGAGGCACATTTCCGAGGGCTGTCCTGAGGTTCTGTATCTCAATCTATCCAACACAACTATCACCAACAGGACTATGCGACTCCTGCCCAGGTAAGGCATGCAGTTTTTTGTTGGTTGGTTTGAGGGGGTGGGGGAGGTCTCATTGTGTACCCCGGGCTGGCTTTGCAATCATGACTTCTGCTTCCTGGATGCTGCTACTTATGCTCTTTGCATCACATTGAAAATAACTGTTCTCCTCTAGGTTCTGGTTTGTTCTAGTAGTCCTTAAAGATAATTCCCCCATCACTAGTACCCAACCATGACCCACAACTATTCTGAGGAGCAGACTGCTGCTTTTCAATCACTGAACTCTGCTTTCCAGCCCCAAGCTGGTATCTGCACTCTCTGTGCTTGATAGGTACAATTGATCACTGGCCTTCTATCTTGGCCAGTGTATTGTCACTCTTGTAACAATGCACTCAGTAGCTCGAGATGGACCTTGCCTGTCCTGTTCTGCTCCCCTTTTTTGGGCATTTGAGCCTGGCAGTGAACTTACAGTATGGTGTCAGAGATCTTTCTGTAATAGAACTCCAGCATCCTACCTTCTCAACCTGTGAATACTGTCCAGATTTGGGGTATCCTGTGCCCCATTGAGATAGATGCTACCACCTCCAGAGAATCTGGAACTATTGGCTTCAGAATGGCTATAGACTTTGACATCCTTGAAGTGTGGGGGCTGCTTCTCCTTAGCCAGCATTTCTCTGGAGAAGGGACAGAAAATACAAAGCTGGCCGATTCTGAAACTTTACCAAATTTATCTTATTCAGTTATTCTGTTTTCACCAGGGAAAGACTAATCAGTCACAGTACCTGATCATATTGGGAGACCTTCAATTTTGACTGTGCAAAAACATTTCTCATACTATTGTGAAAGACTGAACTTTTTTGAGAATATAACTTTTTGAGATTCATTGAAAAATAACAGTGAGACATTTGGAAAAACTTAAGCAGAAGAAATTCTGGGTGGTATTTTTCTCTATGTTCTGACTCTAACCAGTTTCCATAAATGAGAAAACCTCAAAGAAGTGGCACTGTGTTTCCTGTTTAGGCCATTAACTAAGCTGCCATCCTTTCTTTACTCAAATCTGCAAAGCCTTCTTTTTAGAATTTCTTTGGATACCTTTAAAGTTATTTACCCTTTTCTTCACTGTATTTTTTTTAACTCAGACATATAATCCATTTATAATTTATTTAGTGATGAATGAAACAGAAATGAAAACTGAAGGTCAACAAACAATGACCCATGTGACCCAAGGCCTGTTTGTGTGTGGCCCAATATCCAGGAAGGTTTTACACTCTCCCTGTTATATAGAAAATTTTTAATTAAAAAATTTAAATCCAGCATTATTTATTGACTATAGTTCTGATTCTTTCATACATGCATATATAGTTCTTAGGTGATAAATATTTTAAATGGGTTCCTTCCTAATATTTCTCTGCATATAACTTTATCTGCATCTTTGAGGTTTTCATAGCCATTGTGTGCTGCCCAGATCTTCCATCAGTGATCTATCCCTGGTAGCTTGGATGAGGCTGATGGGGAGTATTCTACATCTTGGAAAATAACAAGCATAATAAATAAATACTTGACTTATAAAAGTTTGGTGGTTGTTTAGACTTAAGGAATTGTTGAAAAAGGAAATTTATAAAGCAGAGTAAATTAAGAAGTACATCATATCTGTAGCTACCACATCCTAATAAGACAAAACTTGAGGAAATATTTCTTCAACTCTTTAAAATTGTTTGATTCAGTAAAGAAAGGACTCATGTTTTTATAGGTTGAGATCAGTCTGGGTATATGCCTTGGTTTGCCTAAGTCTTCAATGCAAATGGATGCAACATTTGAATAAAATGAGTGTGCTGTAACTCATGTAAACCCTAATCCTGCCTCAATTGCAACCATCAGTTTGCTGGCTATATCTGTAAAAGTCAGGCAAAAACAAAAACAAAAACAAAAATCAGTGGAAGTATTGTGTGGGAATTAATTGGCTATATAGAACTGACTATAAAGAATATTATATAATTTATTAGTATTTATAAATTATATGATATATAATCTTTTATCTGTAAGATAGCAAGATATAGAATTTTATAGTAAACATATATTTACACACATTTTGGAGAACTAGTTAAATATTTATCTCTATACTGATAAGTAAACATAAAGAACTGATGGAGCTGGAGAGATGGCTCAGTGGTTAAGAGCACTGGCTGCTCTTGTAGAGGACTCGGGTTCAATTCCCAAGCATCCACATGGTGGCTAAACTAGTTCCAGGGGAATCCAACATCCTCTTCTGACCTTCACAGACATTGCATGATGTGGGTGCACTTACATACATGCAGACAGTGCATTCATACACATAAAATAAAAATAATAAATAAAATAAAAAGAAGTGATTTATATTTTTCCAGTGTTTATTCACTTGGTCAGAAATATGGTATCTTTTTCACATTTTTCAAAATTTTTAAATCTCTCGATAAAATTTTTAGTCAGCTAGTTTTTGTGAGCATTATTTCTAGAAATCTTTCTCATTGTCGTTGTGATTGTTAGTCTTTCTGATAGTATGTTTTAACTTTATATTCTAAATGGTCCTTTTTAAGTTTGAATATGAGATGCAGTTATCTTTTTAAACTTTTGTTTGAATGACTTAATTGATTTATTTCCTTTTAAAATGACACATTTAGGTCTATGTGGTTATTTCTAAATAAGAATTTGGGGAAAGCTTATAAGACTTGTTAAATATTATTTCCATTTTCTAGACAAGGAGTCTATATTTGATTCCCTTTATGACCCAGTAATTATTTAGAGAAGAATTTTTTGTTTAATGTGGTTGACATTTCTTTGATTAAACTTCTGTCTTTAATTATGTACTATAGGCAAGAAATATGGGCTAAATTACTTCAGCTATTTTAGAATTCAGACTTCTTGAAGGACTAGTTTGTAATTAATTTCAGCATATCATCCCTGAATGTTTAAAACAAAGAGAGTTTAAGAAAACAAAATTCTGCGTATAGATGTATGCTCATAGATATAACTTCTCGATGTGTCCTAATATAATATTGGCATATTAGTCACTAATTATAATCAAACTTCTAATTTTGGGGGTTGAGTCTAATTTTGGGTCTCCCTGTCCAGACGACCACCCGCAGACTTGCAGGCCTCCTGCCTCAGCCTCATCAGTGCTGTGATTACAAGCATACACTAGCAGACTGACCTTGAACTTTTAAAATCCTTATGAATACATTCACCTTTGCTCTCTTCTGCTTGCGCTGTTTGTGGAGAACTTGTTGTGCTCCTGAATCTTTAGCCTTTATGTTACTGGGTTTTAGTTTTCTCTTTTATGTACAGCATGCAGCTAGCTTCTGTTTTTAAAAATGTTCGCCCTTCATGCCTATTGAAGAGGACAGTTCAAAAGCTTAATTTTTCTTCTTCCTTTTTCTTTTTGAGTTTTTTGAGACAGAGTCTTAAGTAGTCCGGGTTGGTCTCAAACTCATTATGAAGTCAAGGTTAGCCTTAACCTCCTGACAGTCTTGCCTCCACCACTTCTGCCACAGCCAGATTAAAGATTAATATTTCCTTTAAAAATTTAGTGACTCTTAATTTTATTGCCTTGTTTTATGTTTTTGTGTTTACATTATTACACTGTACTCAGGGTCTCTGGTTTTTGCCATAGGAGCTATGTTGCTTACTTTTATACTATGATGACATCTGAAGCTATATGTACATTCTGTTGTATATTGTAACCATTGGTTATTTGTACGCTTTTAAAAATATGCTTTAAGATACATATCCTAATTATCAAAGTTAAGATGAAAAAGTAATTTTGGACTCTCTGCATTCAACAAGGGGTCTGGTGCATTCACTTTTCCCTTGAAGTTGGCATCTTTGTACTTCTACTCCCTGTGTGAAAAAAACTATTTATTGTGATTTTAGATATTGTTTAGTTTTCCTTTTAATATTGATATTAATATTTACACGTAATGTTGTAGTCATACTTATGATGATGTAATAACTAGTTTAGGTCATTCATTGAATGTCTTTTCCCCACAATTGCATTGATTTCTTTTCTTTCCTTTCTCTTTCTCCTTCCTTTCCTTCATGTTTTTTGTTTTTGTTTTTTCCTGAGACAAGGTTTCCCTGTAGCCCCCCCCCCCCAACCCTTCCACTGATCTGGAACTCAGTATATAGACCAGGCTAGCCTTGATCTCAGATATCTGCCTGCCTCTGCCTCCAAGGTGCTGGGATTAAAGGTGTGGACCACCTCACCTGGTATCTTTTTTTTTTTTCTTTTTGAGGCTGGATCTCACTATGTAGCCCAGACCAGCCTCATGATCCTCCTGCCTCAGCCTCAGCCTCCTGAGTGCAGGCCTGAAGTACCATGCCTGAGCTCTTACTCTCTTTTAATTTAGAAAAAATTAGGAGAGACTTATTTACTTTAGTTTTATGTCTATGAGTGTCTTGCCTGAATGTATGTTAAGTGCACCTGTGCATGCAATACCCGCAGAAGCCAGAAGAGGGAGGTTGAATCCCTGGGACTGGAGTTACAGATGGTTGTTAGCTGCTATGGGTGCTGGGAACTAAACCTGGGTCCTCTACAAAAGCAAATAATGCTCTTAGCCACTGAACCATCTCTCCAGCATCAATCTTACAATCTTTGTTAGTTCTTTTAATTCTTGAATCATCCTATGCTGTCTAGAGATATAATCTTAGAACTTCTTTTTCAGGAGAGATGCACGACCGTTACATTTTTCAGCCAGTGATCTCTGAATATGATTATTATATTAGGAGATGAACAGCTTCTCTTGGTGTGTCGCCCTCCAGTCAAGCCTTGTTATGGCTTTACAACTCTTCTTGTGCTGCTTCAAGGGGAGCATGAGTTTTTGCTCTTTCCTGGTAGCCTAAGATAACTACTAAGATATTTGCAAAACTTTCTTTTTCTCTAAGAAATTAAAAATATTTCTCAAGCTTAATCGTGTTCTTCTAATTATTTTTTCCTGGAACATAGTAAACCTTTTGAACACTGAAACTTGAACTTTCCCTCAAGGAAAACG